GCAAAGCTTTCTGAACAAGGTGAGGTTTTAGTTGGGACTTAAAGGAAGCCAGGGAGATTGATAGAGAGAGAGAGGAAGAAGAGTATTCCAGACATGGGGAACAGCCAGTGAGAATGCCCAGAGCCAAGGGATAGAGTGTCTTATTTGTGGATCAACAAGTAGAGTGGCATCACGTGTCAGGGAATAGTGTGTATGAAGCCTGGAAAGGTAGGAGGGGGCTAGGTTATGAAGGGTTTTAAATGCCAAACAGAGTATTTTGTCTTTGATCCTGGAGGCTATAGAAACCACTAGAATCTATTGAATAGAGGAGCGACATGGTCAGTTGTACTGCTTATACTGGGTGGGTTAAATTGCTTTTAAGCTGAAGATAAAACCTCGTTTTATACTGTAGATGAAGTCCCACAAACACACATGTATCCAAACTATTTTGTTCCTTGATCATGGTAGCCCTAGATTTCTTCTGAAACCCTCTGTAGGTCTCTTTTAAGCATCTAAATCACGTATTCATTACAAAAGTATAAGGCAATAAAAGCATTCTATGCAAATTCCATTGCATGGACTTTATTTTACTTAGTAAAAACCAATCTTTTGGTTTTGTACCTATAAAGCAATTTTTTTTTATAAAAGCAAGTTTGTATTCCTCCATATAAACTCCTTCTGAGTTTATGCACTAATCTATGGTGGGAGGCAGATATAAATGAGACGTTTTTCTTTTCACATCAAAAAGCAAACCAAAGGTCAAATGTAAATGAAGTCTCTGCTTGGACAGTAAATACCTATCAAATTAACTGGACAGCTGGTTAAATATACAGATAAAAGTTGGCTTGTAGGATCAGTCTTGGAGAACTTAGAATAAATTTTCCCATAGATTCAATAATATGAACTATGGTTGAGTTCCCTCCCAAAATTATAGTTTAATTTAGTTGGTTGCATACATTGATTTACACGTTGACTGACCAGGAAATTTTCTATGTGTTCATTTTATGAAAGGGAGTTCTTTTGAGTCAAGAAGCCCATTATTTAAGTTCATTGCCTTTTTTTCTTTTTCTTTTTCTTTTACAACTGAAGAGAACTAGGAAAATCAATTTAACGTAGAAAAGAAAAAAAAATTATCACAGTACAGAGTTGATATGAATTGTGACATTTTCCTATAACTTGTGAGATTTTAGGCCACACTAAAAACCACCAGCCTATATAGGCAGCCCATAAAACCCTGATTAACCACAAGGTTAAAGTATTATGGCAGACAATTAGATGTATAGCCTATTAAGCTGGTCCAACAATTGGTAGATTTTGGATAGTCACTACAAATTGATGGGCAGCTAGGTAGTGCAGTGGACAGAACAGAAGGCCTGGAAGGTCTGAGTTCAAATGTGGCATCAGACATTTGCTAGGTGTGTGACCATGGGCAAGTCACTTAACCCTGTCTGGTTCCTCCATCTGTAAATGAACTGGAAAAGGAAATGGCAAGCCATTTTTGGGAGGCAATCAGGGTTAAGCAACTTGCTTATGGTCACATAGTTAGTATCTGAGGCTGGATTTGAACTCAGTATCTTTTGCAACTTAGTATATTTCCCAAATGGCATCATGAAGTATTGGATACTGAACAACAACAGACTGACATTGAAATTGGTACTATATTTAAAGGAGAAGCACACTGAAGTATAACGGATAGAGTGATAGGGCTGGGAATTAGAAAGTCCTATGTTAAAATCTCTCCCCTCCCACTTACTATGCACACTTACCTTAACGTGAGTTGCTAAGCTCAATGTCCTGATCAACTCCCAAAGACAAAATCCACCATGTCAATATCGATGGAGAGAGCTCCTCACTTTGATAAAATCAGATCCTTTGTACAAATATAGGATCATTAGACTTAAAGCTAAAAGCAACTTTGGAGATTATGTAGTCCAGTCCCCTAATTTAACAAATGAGGAAATCAAGGCCAAAAAGGGGGAAATTATTTGTCTAAGATCACATAGGCATTAAGTGGTAGAACTAAAATTTAAAGCCAGGTCTTCTGACTTCAAATGCCAAGCTTTTTCCACTATACCACACTGTCTCCTATTGTGTGAGTCATATGTTTGAATCATATAAAACCTAACCATCATTCATAAAAATGATTGCCATGGAAAAATCAATTCCAACTCGGAGTGCCAAGAACATAGTTAGTTATCCACAAACATTTATGTATGTGTATGTAAATATATGTGTGTTTATATATATTATATATACATATATCACACAAATGACCTAGATTCTCTTTTCTCTTCTTGGTTTCATATACCTGGTGAGGGAGGTGGGTGAGATGTGGAGAAGAAGACCAATGAAGAAGAGGTATTTATCTTACATATAAATAAGATGGAAATTTCTGAGAACTGAGGGTACAGACAAGGAAATCTCAAATAACCCGAAACTCAATAACTTATTAAAAGCCTAAGTATGAGAGTTTTATAAAAATAGGGAGCTTGAAAATTTCTTCCTTCAAAAAAAAAAAAGAAAAGTAGGCCTACTGCTTATGGAACAAAAATAAACTCACTTTACATTTGGAGTCAACACTGCCTGTAAATTTTATGCATTGGGAAACTTTTGGGGAAAGTGTTCATAGTATATATTACTGAGATCATTTTTTATTGAACCAAACAAAAGAAAAAGGAAATTTTAAATGAAACCTGATCAAATAACAGAAACATTTCAACAATTTAAAAACCCTATAAAATGTAAAAATATCCACATTTCACTTTAATGTAGGTGGAATTTTTCAGTCACTATAGCTAATCCTTACAGGTCTATGTGCAATAATCCAATGTAATATGTACCTTTGATAAATTCTCTCCAGAAAAGTTGACTTAAGGTAAAGTGTTAACACAAGATATTATGTAGTGGTATAAATTAGTTCAGTTGTATGCACTGATTTACACACTGACTAACCAGAGAACTTACTATGTGTTCATTCTGTGAAGGGGAGTTCTTCTGAGTCAACAAGACTATTATTTAAATTCATCACATTTTTTAACAACTGAATGAAACTAAGAAAAGCAGTTTAACTTGAAAAAGAAAATATATAAAGGTATAGAGTTGACATAGACTATATGACATTCTCCTATAACTTGTGAGACTTTAGGCCACGCTAAAACCCACCAGTCATTTGATGGAGCTGTGATTTCAATGTGGGCACACCTTCTAATGGTACAGATTGCAATCCATTCATACTTCTTTATCCCATATGACTCTTTCTCCTTTTCTCACTTAAAACCTCTATTGAAAGTCCACTCAATAGTCTGGAGGTGTTGGTCTTATAACACACTGAAGGTACCAGCATAGTACTTAAGTTGTCCAGCTTAACACATGCCCCTTTCTTTTCCATTCATATAATGTCCTGCATGGCATCTTTTATTATAACACCTTTTCATCCAAATCATCCTTAGTGATAGGCTACAATTGATTTACATTCTTCATCTTTCTCTCCACTGCCCAATGGGTCACCTGCAATCTTGATTCTTTAGAGATTATGCTATTTACTGATTTGCAGTCATAAAGTATAATGGTATTTAAGATGAGGTTTTTTTGAGGGGGAAGGGGGAGCGAGGCAATGGGGCCAGATTTGAACTCAGGTCCTCCTGACTCCAGAGCCAGTGCTCTATTCATAGGCAAAGTAGGCAATTCAGCCTACTTTCATCCCACCCCCTTACCTTAGACCAAGCTCAATGTCAATCTATAGTGACCATCCAAAATCTACCTACTATTGGACCAGCTTGGTAAGTTATCCATCCAATTGCCTACCAAAGTCTAGACAAAACACTTTTTTAATCCACTTGGGAATTTTTTATTTTATTCTAGAGGCAAGAAAAGAGTCATTGGCGATTTTGAGCAAGGGGGAACCTATGCTTGAGGATTATCAACTTGGCAGCTATGTGGCATATGGCATTAGAGAGACTGAAGCTAGGGAGACTATTGTGAGAGGTGACAAAGATTCTTACTAGGATAGTGACCATGGTAGTGGAGAGAAGGTGTCAGATGAGAGAGATATTAAGGTGGTCTAATTAATAAAGACTTAGCAACTGACTCGATATGAGGGGTGAGAGAAAGAGAGAAGAGTGTAGACCAGTGTCTCACACTGTGAATCTAGGAAATTGGACTATGGCAGTGACTTCAACAGAAATCAAGGTGTTAGGAAAAAGAGTGAGTTTGGGGTAGGAAATAATGAGTTATGTGGGTTGCTGAAAGGCCACACAGTCGGGTGTGTGTCAGAGACAGGACATGAACTCACATCTTCCAGTAGCCAAGAGTGGATAATGCCATGTTGCCTCAAGCCCAATAATTATGTGTATCATTTAATAGCATTATGTTACAAAATAATTTATATTCATCACTATTTCCTACTAATTCCTAATATTTAAAAATTTGTACCAGGCTTTATATTAGCCTCTTTTTGTTTTTGTTTTTCCCCATTTACACACATTTCTCTGATATGCTAAATTTTTTTCAATCTGTTTCTTGAATTCACATTTCTTTCATCATAATTCACATCTTCAGCAGTAGAAACATACTGAAACTATAGAAAACAATTCAGTTCCTGTGTATAAATAACCAAAAGTAGCTGGTAGGAATGGATTTGAAGTCCTTGATCTACACAGATTTACAACAAGATTATTAGCACGTGATTAATAAGCAGCTAATGCAAACCAGCTCACGCTCCCTGTTTGCTAAGTTCTTCTATCTCACTTTCAAGTTCCATGGCAATGTTTCAAACCAGTTAAGAGTCCTGCTTTATTTGGTTGTACATTGTTAAACTCACCATCTGGTCAGACAGCTGATGTAACTGAAAGGGCTGAGAGGGGCCCCAGGCTTCCCTCCTAGGAAATATTTGTTCTACCATGTTGTGTAATGATTACCAGTAAATAGCTATTTTTAATGTGTCAGTTGAAAAGAAGTGTAGAAAATTTCAACGTTGAGGAAATCTACATTGGAATCAGTTCCTTATGAGGGAGCTCTCTTACCTGTGGACCCGGCTGACCCTGCAAATAAAGAAAAAAGAACAAAGAATTACAAAATTGTTTTATTCCTATTTCACTACCAGAGTTGATAGTAGGAAAGACCTTTTTTAAAAAAAAATGCTTGTTGATTTTTTTAATATCACCTTCATTTCCAAACTTTCGTTTTGCCTCTATCTTTCCATACCTAGAGGGTCCCCTCCTCTACAAATAAGGAAGACAGATCAATTTTTCTCATCTCTTCCTTGGGGCCAAGCTTGAACTGACCTTCATTATTAAAAAGAAGGATCTCCCCACCCTCCACCTCCAAAATAGTACCAACTTATGTAAAATCCTTATTTGATGATTTCTTGAAAATTGCATTACACCCAAAGGTCAATTGAATTCTTAATTCCATGTCAAGATAACTGCATTTCAAATCTCAAATTTTTACAATTTAACTCATACAGTTCCAGAGTGACGTGAAAACATTAGCATTCACTGAAATGTGACTGGGGATGATAGAAGGAAAGGAAACAATAAATTGGTTCAATATATTGTAACGAATGAGTCATTTGATGGGAAAGTCTCCATAGCCCAGAGAACCAAATGTGTGGCTATGAGCTACAGCTTCACAGATGACCAGATCATATGTCATGACAAAGAGGCACATGAGAAGCAGGCACATTTGATGATTCGCTGAGCCTTTGGCTTTCCTAGTATCCCAGGAACATTTTTTTCCCTTTTTAATTCAATAGAATTGAGCCAAAGGCTGTAAAAAACATTATGAAACATCTTCAGCTCAGTGAAAGTGGATCATAACTCCTAACGGTCAATAAGGTTTATGACCTCTAACCAACTTAATGCATTTTGAATGTCATTTTTTGTTTGAGGCTGTTAACGTTTTTAAAAACAACATAATTGAACTGCTTCTAACCAAAAAAAAAAGAACTCCAAAAAAACCAAAAAACCCAATCACTAAAAAAATACAAGTATTGATTATCCATCACTTTCTTAAACATCTTTAATCAGTTTTTCTGTTCCATGAGATGAGATGACAGGGTTCTGTGAGTCAGAAAATAGAAAAAATATTGTTCATGATGGGGATATCAGGGTTGGGCAGTAAGAGGAAGGCAGGAACCAAGGAAAGCAATTTGAAAATGTCTGCTTAACCCTGCTGGAAAATGGGGCAACCCTAGTCAAGGTTTCTTAACCTGTGGTTCACAGACTCCCAAAAGGTCTGTGGATGGAATTCAAGGGATCACTGAACTTGGATAGGAAAAAATACACCTTTATTTCAGTGTAATTGCTTTCCTTTGTAATCCTATGTATTTATTTATGCATTTAAAATTTTTCTTTTGAGAAGTGGACAGTAGGTTTCACCAGATGGCCACAGGGATCCATCACACACACATATACACACACACACACACTGAGAGAGAGAGAGAGAGAGAGAGAGAGAGAGAGAGAGAGCGAGCAACAAGAATCCCTGCTCTGAGTGTTCTGACCTAAAATACCATGACAGGAACAGTGTAGACCAGTGGTAGCAAATTCAAATAGAAGTGGGGAGGGGGAGGGCCACTAAACCATACATACGGATCCCTGTGGTCTACATATTGACTTAGAAAAACACACCTACCATTTCTTTTCTTTCTTTCTTTCTTTCTTTCTTTCTTTCTTTCTTTCTTTCTTTCTTTCTTTCTTTCTTTCTTTCTTTCTTTCTTTCTTTCTGTTTTTTTAGGCAATTGGGGTTAAGTGATGTGCCCAGGGTCACACAGCTAGTAAGTGTCAAGTGTTTGGTCCAAGGCCAAATTTGAACTCAGGTCCTCCTGACTTCAGGGCTGGTGCTCTATCCACTGCACCACCTCACTGCCCCTCCCCTACCATTTCTATGGTGCTTACCGTGCACCAAGCACTGTGCTAAGCACTTTTCAGATATTTTCTCACTGATTCCCACAATGTTGTTTGTCCTTTGTTCTCAGAGGACCCATGACATCACGAAGGTGATGTCATGACTTGCAAGTGACTTGGATTTCAGGGAGGCAGTGCTCTGCAAGGTCACCAGCTTCACTCTCTCCTCCAGAGCCAACTGGATCTAATATCAAGATATAGATCAGGACAACTGGAGATGGCCGCGGATGCAGTGGAAGACCTTGTCCTTTTTAAGCTAAGATCTTTGCCAGGTCTCAGTTTGTCTGAGGCAACAAGCATTTTACAAATATTATCTCATTTGATCCTCACAATAACCTTGGGAGGTCGGTACTATTATTATCCCCATTTTATAGATGAAGAAACTGAGGCAAAGACAAATTAAGTGACTTGCCCAGTTTCACCTAGCTAGTAAGTGTTTCAGGCTGAATTTGAACTCAGATCTTCCTAACTCCAGGCCGGGCATTCTATCCATTGGGTCACTTAGCTTTTGTCGGTGGTGGTGTTTTTAATACATCAACACAATAAAATCAGAAAGAAAGTGCATTTTTATCTGGTTTTGAGCTATGTTCAGGAGTGTTGTGGCCCACAGGTTAGAGCGCCAACTGAGCGTTTGATGCCTCTTAGGTATGTAGACACTTCAAGATATAGGCAGAAAATCTCGTTGGCCAACTAACAATCTCCTGGAATCCACCAATAATGCATTTATTTTGTATATATATATATATATATATATATATATATTTGTATATCTTTTAAATGTCTATTCCTTGTAGGCAGAAACTGCTTCCTTTCTGTCTTTGTGTCTTCAGTGCTTAGCCTGGCACACAGTTAGCACTTAATAAGTGCTTGCAGACTGACTGATTGATAGCCTACAGCCAGATTTTAAAATCATCTGAATGTGAAGGGAAACTCACGTTCACCTCCACTCAGGACCACTTTCTCCAGAAGGTCTTTCCTGAGCCCCCCTCACCTCATCCATCTGAGGTTGCCTTGAATCTGTTTTATATACACCTATACATGTGCATGTTTTCCCTCCCATTGGAATTCAAGCTCCAGGGGGGCAGGGATTGTTTTGCTTTGTCTGAATCTCTAGCCCCTAGCACAGGCTTCATTTCAGCCTTCTCTACTATCCCTCAGAAACTTCTTCATCCTATATGATCATTCCAGCCCTGGAATTCACACTTGGCAGTACCCCCTCACCAATGGCTTCTCCCTCTGATTGGATGACTCCCAGAACCTCCCTTTGAGAAGGACTCCCAGGCCAGCTAGCTCTTCATTTGTCAAATCACTAGTCCAGGCTTCTCTAGGTTTCTGCACTCTGCACCTGACACAGACAGACAGACACACAAACACACATTCAGCTTCCTTTTATATGTTGTCTAACTCCATTGGAATATAAGCTCCTTGAGGGCAGGAATTGTTTTTCTTTTTGCTTGTATTTGTATTCCCAGAGCTTAGCACAGTTCCTGGTATACCAAAGGAACTTAATAAATGCTTTACTATAAATGTTTACTATAAGTGATTAATAATTGCTTGTTGGTTTAACTGTCTCTTTTCCTGCAATCCCTCCTCTATATAGTTAACAAAATAACCTTCCTAAAAGCAAAGGTCATTCTCCTGCTCAAAAGTTTTCAGTAGCTACTTACTGCTTTAAGGATGAAAGGTAAACATTTCGATTTAATGTTCTTCACAATTTGTCTCCAATCAACTTTTCCAGAAATCTACTTTTCCTATTAACTCTCTACCCCTCTCCCCACTTCTTTTGCTCAGTGTTCCAACAAAGCTGAACCCATGAAGTCATCATTTCATCTCCTGGTTTGTACAAGTGACCGTCATGGGAGCTTCCTTATCTTCTCTATATGAGAAGATATATGACTGTGCTGAGATATATAATTCCTATATCTTGTCATGTCCAACATTTTGTGACCTCATGGACCATGGCACGCCAGGCCCTTCTATCCTCCACTATCTCCAGAAGTCTGTCCTATCTCATGTTCACTGCTTCTATGACACTGTCCATCCATCTCCTCCTCTGCTGTCCCCTTTTTCTTTTGCCTTCAATCTTTCCCAACATCAGGGTCTTTTCCAATGAGTTCTGCCTTCTCATTATGTGGCCAAAGTATTCAAGTTTCAGCTTCAGTATTTGACCTTCCAATGAATAGTCTGAATTAATCTCTTTAAAGTACACGTGATAAGTGATGGATAAATGTTTATGGAAATTAATTGAATTCAATGCCCCACGTCAGAGGTGAGGCAGCATGACCTCACAGATTAGCAAAGATTATAAGCCAGTCTAGCCTAGGACTGTGCCAAGGGTTTCCCAAATACTCCAGTTCTGCTATCTATATAGAATCTTAAGACACTGATATCATAATTTATATGAGGTTCAGACTAAAAGTCATATTTAGTCAAAATTACCCTCTCTCCACAGGTGTCCAAGGTGAATAGCATCTAACTTGTTAGAAAAAGGAAGTCAGTAAGCTGTATCCATATCTTCTATATAAGATCCATTCTGGATCTGTTGGGCTGAGGGTAAAAAGTGGGACTTAGTACTACCTACAGCACACTGCTCCTTTTGTCTAATACCCAGCTGCTGCCCTTCTCTCCTGGTGTTCCACTCTGCCCTCCTCCTGTCATCCCTGCCCTGAGCCTGAATTATTTATTTACGTTATTATTCCTCCCCTCACCTCCTTTTATTGGCTGAGCAGTTGAATTCATATAAGTTAAATGTAAGTATGTTAATGACTCCACTGTATGTCTAGGAGTGACAATATGTTTTTCAATCATATCCCAGCAACTTGTCAGCTGAGAGCCAATAGAAGACGTATCAAACTTGGGCAAAGCTTCCTTGAGTAAAAGATACTCCTCCAAAGAAGGTCGGGCTTGACCTCTTTCCATGGACAAGGTGACAGGGGCTTGTATACTGGCAAATACAAGCCAATGCTGTCAAAAGAGCAGTTTAATGTATGAACAAAAATGTTTTTTCCCTGGCTCTCACAGCACATCACTGGGCTGAAACTAACTGATATCTGACAGCTAATTGGGCATCTCTGCCTTGGTTGAATCAAATCATAAAATGTCACGGTCATTAAAGTAGGCATTGGCAGCAAAGG